AAAAAAAAAAGCGCAAAATGGAATATACCGCGTCTCGTTCGCAGCGTCGACGGAGCATTTTTCTGGAAGAAAGATGAACGCCCGGGAAACTCGAAAAGGTCGTTGAATAAGGTATTCGTTAATTCCAGAGACCTTCGAAAGCTTCAATACCCGTGTCAATATTGACCCAGTTTTCGCGAGGTCTGTCGGAAACAGCCGGTCTCGCTTTTAACTGACCGCATAACAACTCGATTTTGTTGGAACAACAACTCGTATATCAATTACAGTCTTGCAAGTTGAACGGAGCTAAGTCGATCAAGAGGTAGGATAATGTTTCCCTGCCACGAACATTTTATAACCACGACATGTTTCGAGGTGTTTCTAATAATTCCTTCGTCTTTACATCTATTTCTAGATCTTTCAATTTGGGTTTATTTCATGTATAATTTTCTTGGCTTTGGTATCGTTTGATTAATTTCTTTTTAGATTTAGGGTTAGATTAACGGTTTACGATTAACTCAGTTCTGCATTCTAATTTTTCATGGAAGTTCCTCTTTGATTCCTTTTAGTATTATTTATTTGATCTTGATTTACTTAATCGCGATGTGAAAAAGATGTGTTAGCGATGCCATTATAAAATAAGGTCTGCATAGATTGAGATCGCATGAAAATGAACAAATGCTCTATGCAAAGTTGTTAATATATAAATATAACGATGACCGTGTATATTACTGTACTGTATTATATATTATACATATTACGCATATTACAGTATTAGATGTATACATTTACTATATTGTTTAATATATATACATACTGGTAGAAAAATGATTTCTTCTAAAATGAATCTAATAATACGCGTCGTATCATTATTTTCAGGCAAGTAGTATTAAGAAACATCTATTGAATACAGTTTTGTCAAAATTCGTCGGCCTCATATGCGCCAATTTCGGCTCGAATGTACCTTTACATTAGTGATTTTCAATTCGTTCCTACGTACCTTTCCGCAGAGCTTTCATTTCTTGACTTCTATGCTTGTTTGCTCGATTCCTTTCGAGTTGGTCCGTTTTGTCGACTCGCGGTAGGTTCGGGGTAAACCGCCGTGGAATTTTCACGACGACGCGACGAGGATGTCGTCGGCGGCCGAGGACGACGACAATACGGCGTCACGGGCGCCTGCGGGTCCTCTTTTTTATTCATACGTCCCTGGCTCGAGAGTTTATCCACCCACGAAGCTCACGTGCATCAGCCACGTAACACACACACACACACACACACACACGGAAAAATGTAGGGAAAAGTAGCATACACGAGGCGCGTACGCGAACAGAAAGAGAGCTGGCATGCCGTCGAGAAGCGAGAAAGCTAAACTAAATTTGCTTTTCTACACGGGTCTGTGTATCTACTCCAATTTGCGCCGCCTTGGACCGCCCGAAAAAAAAGGCCTGGCTCTTTTTTTTTTTCGCCGCGCGAGAAAGGAGGTCGCGTCGACGAAATTTCCAGCTAAATCCTTTAACAGCATCATGCTCCGCGCGAACAATGATCCCGCCAAGCTCTCGAGTCTCTCCCTCTTGGAACCCCGCCCTCGTGTGGACAGAGGCGACTCCTCTCGATCTCTCGTGACTTCGGGAACGATATCCGAGCACCGTGATTTCAGATCCGCGGTTAATTGGAACCTTTCTGCGAGGCAGAAGCTCAGAAAGATTCTTTATCCCGATTTTACTCGGTCTTTTAACTTTCGGGGTCGG